TCTTGCCGCACAAGTGAGGACCTGAGTTCAAATCCCCAGCACCCACATAAAGCTGGATGTAGCAATGCATGTCTGTAATCCCAGTGTTCCTATTACAAAATGGATGGCAGAGACACGAGACTCCCTGGAAGCTGCAGGCAGCTGACCTGCTGTACACAGTGGCAAACGACAGAGACCCTGTCTCACACAAGATGGAAGGCAAGGGCCAACACCCAAGGTTGTCCTCTGACTTCCACACATGAGCAGTGGTACTCAGCCCACACCCAGAAAAGTATTCAATTAGTGTTTTTATTGTATTCACCATATTGTGGGGTTGTTACCACCATCTGGAATGTTTCTGTCACCCCCTCAAAGAAGTGTCGGTCATCAGCAGTTGCTCCCCATATTTCCCCTTCCTTCTGCTGTCAGCGGCCTGTTCACCTTTCTGTTCTGGATGTTTCCCAGGGCCTGGCTGGCTGTGTCACACTGCCTGTTTTTGTTCTGGTTCTCAGGACTTGCATAGTTAACCTAGGAACCAGAGAGGTTTCAGATCACCCAGGACTACCTAGTGAAAACTTTGAAAACTTGTCTCAAAACAAAACAAACAAATCTTTTTTTTAAATTTTTTTTGAGGGTCTCCCTGTAGCCCCAGCTGATATAGCAGTCACTATGTAGACGAAGCTGGTCTCAATCTCACAGAGACTCACCTGCCTCTGCCTCCTGTGTGTTAGGATTAAAGGCGTGCACCACAGTGCCCTGCTCAAACAAGAAATCTTTAAAGCTGGATGTGTTGGCACATACTTGTGATCTGGACACTCAGGAGGCTAAGGCAGGAGGATTTTGAATTCAAGGTGAGCCTGGGCTACATAGAGAATTTAAAGCCAGCCTGGCTTTAAAGAAACCCTTTCTTAGATCAATCAAACAAACAAACAGAAAATCCCACAAGCCCCAGAGGGCTTGGTGGCTATGGTATGGCAGGTTTTAGGTCTTTCTCTGTACTCAAGACCCCTGAGTGATCAGAGCCCAATAGGCCAGGCTGCTCTGAAGTATGGTCACCAGGTTTCCTGATCCTGCAGCAGAGCCTTCCCAGGAGGCCAGGCCTATAGCTAGAGGCCAGGACCCTGCTCCCTGGACTTTCAGGCATCTCCTGGCACCTGTGCCCAGAGAGCCTCCAGGGACCAGCTTATCTGAGATAACCTGAACCAACCTGTGGTCCCCTCTTGGAATAAGCCTAGAAAGGCCTCTGATTTGGCCAAGTTGAGAGGAGTGGCTTCAGGCTTTCTGGCTGACACAGGCCCCATCTTGACTGACCACAATAGAGTTACTGCCCCCAACTCTTCTAGTACAAGTACCCAAAGTCAGGACTTCCGCACACCTGGCTGAGACTCATTCAAGATCTAGGGAAATTAGATCCTTCCCCACTCCCCAAAGGACTGTCCCTGTTCCAGAGAAGAAGCTCTCTGTGTCTTGACTGAACACAGCCACTACTGGGGGCCAGGAGACCCTGCCTGTCTGTGGAAGGGACCTTAGAAATAATACCACTGGATTCATTGAGCATGGTGGCAAATGACTATAATCCCAGCACTCAGGAGACTGATGCAGGGGGATGGAGAGTTTGAGTCTCTATATCTTAAAAAGTTAACAATTCAGTATATTTTAGAGCATAGCAAGGGACTAAACAAATGGGGGTTCACTGAGATATCTTGGAGAACACAGAGGATCATGTTTTCTTTCCTCCTGCCCACCTATTCTGCAATGGCTTGGACTCCAAGGCTCAGTGTGGGCACCTCCCCATGTTTCTCAACCCGCCCTGCGGCTCCACCATGCAATCATCTGACCTGCCTGGTAGGAGGTGTCTCCTTTCAGATGTCCCTTCCCAGAAAAGCCTGTCCAGGACTCAAAGCATCTCTGCTTGCACTCCAGGAGTCCTTGGCCTCTTGGTCCTGAGCCACCATCCTGACTGAAGTCTCCTTCTCCCTGTGGGACTGTAGGGCCGGGCTAGGAGGGATGCTATGTCCACCTCTGCACCCACCCCTTCATTCCACAGCCTGTTAACTGCCATCCTGGCCTCTGTGTACATGGGGCACTGGAAGCTCACAGGTGTCAGAGACACTGCACCCAAGATTAGGCCAAGTTGGGGGGGAGGTCACTTACTATAAAAAATGTAAAATGAAGGGCTGGAGAGATGGCTCAGTGATTAAGAGCACTGACTGCTCTTGCTGAGGACCCGGGTTCGATTCCCAGAACCCACATGGCAGCTACAACCCTTCCTTAACTCCAGTTCCAGGGGAATCTGAAGCCCTCTTCTGATCTCCGCGGCATTGCACAACATGGGTGCACTCACTTACATGCAGGCAATACACTCATACACATAAAAAATAAAAATAAGCTGGGCATGGTGGCGCACACCTGTAGTCCCAGCACTTGGGAGACAGAGGCAGGC